AGTCGGACCGCGTGTTTTACGAATGGCTGCCCAACGGCTGGGATATCGGCGACAGTAAACGGGCCAATGAAACGAAAGCCAATTTGAATACACTGTTGACTAAATTGGTTCAAAACACCGAAGAGTTCACGAACGACGCCAAAGTGGTCGCTCTGATTGACGAATCAGTTCACGGATTGTTCGGCAAAATTGTCAAAAAGATACTCATTATTACCGATAATATCAGCGATAATATTACCCGAAAGGAAGTACTGCCCGCCGTATCGATCGTACTGTCCGTCTGTTTTATTGTCTTCATTGGCTATATTATGGCTTATTTAGTGTATGTTTTGTTTCATTTTAATCATGTCTTTAATTTAAAGGCTTTAAACACAGCATTTAATTAAGTTTTTGTCACATTTTATAGCCGTATAGAAGAGGAGACCATTAAAGAGAAGTACAAACGACTCGGAAAACAGATGCCGGGAGTGACTAAACCTAAGTATATAAACGATTCAATTGCTGTTTTTGTGGATAATTTTTGGTTAATTGTTTTGTTTGTTTAATTGTGTCTCAGAAATGATTGCAAACTAAATATACACGAACTCCGGGGCGAGACATACAATGGTTTGGTTCGGCTCCTGAAGCCCGGCTGCCGTACGATCGTGTTATTAGTGGACACGACATCCAAACCCAAACTATTGCAACAATTCTATCGCGCGGTCTATCCTTACAGAAGGTTTGGCCGTATTTTTGCTGTTTTGTTATTTAATAAACTAATTGTGCGTTTGTTTTGCGCCAGAAATAAGACACTGATGTTTGCGTTCCTACACGTGGAGAAAAACCTCGATTGGTATCGAACAATACTCATGCAAACGCTGGGAGAGCACAAGCAATTGCAGATCAATCCCAAGAACTGCATCGGAACCGTTGTCTCGTTGAACGGCTTTCGTAAATACCTTTGCGTATATCACGCCAAACACCCGGAGGTTAGCAATCAATTGGTTATCAATTTTTTGTAACCGTTTTTAAATTGTATTTTGAATTAAATATGTGTTTATATAGAGACGAAAGCCAAGGGAAGGCACGTCCGGCGCGTTCATGGGCTTCGAGGAGGACTCCGACAACTCGGAGACCGATATCGAGTGCGGGAACCCATCACTAGTACACCGACAGACCGGCGATATTGACGACGATATTGTATTTGAAGAGCACCTGTTGGACGGACTGTCCAATTGGTTGGACCGACTGTTTGAGGGCTCGACTCAACGCTATCACATCCAGTATTGGCCCGAACACATGAAATAGTGACCACGAGTTTTTGTGGCCATTTTTTGGCCACAATATTCTGGTCGCCAAACGTTTTAGTCAATTATAAGGCAATTGTATTTCGTATATCGAGAAAACAGTATTTACTTAATATTTTCTGTATATTTATTACAGAAACACAACGATTAGTAGAAATTATTTATTGATTTTTTGATTATTTTACGACAATTTTAGGCACTATTTTAAGTTTTAACATAATTGTTATCAAAGTTTTTAGTTATTAAATAAATTAATGAATTAAATTACGACAGACTTCAGGTTTAGATGTGTTTGTATTTGATCTCCATTTCCAGTCAATTGTTTATATTATATAAAATATACTTAAAGTAAAGATAAAGTTTTTAGTTATTAAATAAATTAATGAATTAAATTACGACAGACTTCAGGTTTAGATGTGTTTGTATTTGATCTCCATTTCCAGTCAATTGTTTATATTATATAAAATATACTTAAAGTAAAGATTGTTTGAAATGTTGTTTTGCAATGTTTTTTGAGTATAAAAATTCATTTTTTAATTGTTTTGAATTTAAAAACTCATTTCATATGACATTTACATCTTAAATGAAATTCAATGATATAAATAAAAAGTTGTTTTAATTTATAACAAAATGATTACATTTTTAATTAACAATATGTTTAATGTTTGCGAAGTTCACCAGTAATTGAGTTTTGGGGACAATTTAACCGTATATTAAATGTAATGGACTTTTGATATCATTGAAAATGTGAGAAATATATGCTTTCATTTTCAAGAAGAAGACACTTTTTAATTACTTTTTATTTAAAAGTATTGTATTGAATGGCAAACAACTCTCTCATTGTTTTAGGAAATGTTGGTCTCTCTGTATAATGAGGTAAACCATCAAAAGTGAAAAATTCAAAGTTGGGGTCAATTAGGGAGAGAGTGAGAGACCTTTTCTGCCATTGTTTAGCACTGAAACTCAATTTAAACCTCGATTTACTTCATAAAGCATTTGGATTTTTGAAAACAATATGCAATTGTTTTTCATAAAGTCTATACTATTTCGTAAATCCTATGTTTTATGTCAATTGTTATTCTTTTAAAAGATTTATTATTTCTATAGACTGCAAAATAATGCGTTTTTGATGCGTTCGTCACTGAAAAACTTAACTTTATATACAAGTAATGTTTGATTCATTGCTTTGAACACACCTTTAATATTTGTAATAATAGATTATAAATAATTTTTTTCTGTGCAAAAGCATTAAAAACGCATCTTTTTGCAGTCTATAATTATTTCATAACATTTTGGATATAATTTTTTTTAGTAATAATTTCATCGCAAAGGAGTTAACATTGGTTTGATATTTATGCGAAAAATATGTTCAAAAAGTTTGCAATTAATATAATTTTAATAAACATATATTTAACATCGCTTTCGTCAATG